GATGATGGACTGTTGCTGACTGTTGTTGATGGACTGTTGCTGACTGCTGATGATGGACTGTTGCTGACTGTTGATGATTGACTGTTGCTGACTGCCGATGAGAATATTTCTTTTTGCAAAGGTTGGTCTTCTGAATTTGGGTGTTGAGTGTTAGTTGGAGGGGTATCAGTTCTCTCCTGAGCAGCGGATGGATCATTGCTTGTTTTAGTTTCATTTTGGACAAGGTGGTTCTGTTCTTCTGTGCGTTGTTTCTTTGGTGGAGAAGGATGTTTGGATTCTTTGTGCAATTCCTTCTTTCTTTTGAGAGAACTTTTTGTTTTGGATGTCTTGACTGGCACTCCATCAACAGGGATTTGCACTTTATAGTGTTTTTGCATCATGGATGCAAATTCTCCAACTCTGTTGTGAAACCTTTTTTTCTTGGGGCGCACAGGTAGTGGCAGGTAATTTCCAAAAGATGATTTGAGTTGTTTCTTGCCAGATTGTTTTTTAATCAACGTTTGTATTTGTAATGAGTTTTCCTTTTCGTCAGTTGTTTGAAAGGTTGTGAACTTAATTAGTAACATTTCAAGGGAACTGTTGAGTTCTTTGAAGGCACTTACATCTTCAATGTTGTATGTCAACGATGTTAGCCCTTTAAGCTTCTCCCTACATGTTACTGCCTCTTGCCTGATTTGACTTTCAATGCCTTTGACTTTCTGGTTTGGGACACCTGCGTTGCCATCTTGCTGATTTCCTGGTACGTCTTGACCAATCTGAATGTTGTGATTTTCTTCACCACTTTTATACTTAGTGAAATCAGCAAACACATGCTCCCTGTCTAGTGAGAGATGGGGGTTTTCACGATATTTTTCTGGCAACGAACCCCACTGCCATTTTGGGTAATGGTCGAAAATTGCAAAAAAATGCTTGCATAGGAGCCCCGTGTGGCAAAAATCAGGACAGCTACATCGTGGCATGACATCCCCAGCACCAAAACACAGGCTGTACCATGTGCTGCTTGACTGTGATTGGACTTGGAACTGACCATCTTCTATGCCATTACAAACCTCCTTGATATGCTGGGGTTCTACTTCAACAGCAGATATTATGCACTGCCTGCAGTGGTTCACAAAATGGTCTTGGTTTATTGTGCAAGTATTTTGGCACATCTGAGCTGTAGCGCCTGTATCCTTCACTGCACCTTGTGTTAAGCTCCACATACCTGGGAAAAAAGCAGCTTCTTAATGAATTGTTGATAATTATGCAGTGATATTTGAGTTGCATATGTTGTAGAATCTTTGCATTGAATGAAGAGTAAAGAGTCGTGGATGAGAGGACAACAGACGTGCCCTCTTTACAATACTTTTTTAGCATGTGAACAGTAAGTTCGGACGTCAGCATACAAAGATGCCACTGGCAGCCGCTCTCAGTCCATTTATGAGCTTACTGTACCCACCCAACCCATGATGTGAATGAGGTGATGTGTGAAGGTTGGCCACACCACCAGGGTCTACGTTCCCTACTCTTTTCGAACAGTGGTGTGGGTTCTTTTACGTCCCACATGAACCAGATAAGTGTAAGTGCTATGAGACGGGACCTACGGTTTTTCGTCCTTATCCGAGAAGACTAGAAAGTCTAACCGTTTGCAGATGTCATTACAAAGGCAGCACTTTCTTCTCATTTATTTAAAGACCCTGAGTGTTGGTCCGGCCGGGGTTCGAACCCGTGACCTTCCGCTCAGCAGACCGGCGCTCTCCCAACTGAGCCAACCAGGCGGCGGTCATTAATCCCTACTTTAACTTTAAGCATTTGAATTTTTGAATGTGGGATGTACTGTACCTTCTGTTTTTGTCGGGTAGAAATTCCTCGATTAGTGTCGTAACCATTCCACTGAGGCTGTTGTTATTTCGATCCTTCACGTACTGGTATTTCAAGGACTCATTCTGTCTTTCAATGCCGTTGTTAGTGTTGATACTCAACATGAATCGGTCCTGTCTGAATGCCCACACCCATCGCTGTAATAAAAAGCAAATTACAGAGAATTTAAACTTTTAAGTGAACTGGTCCTTGCTGCATGCTAACAGCTCACTTCATTAATATTTATTATTTACACGAATATGTTAGACAGGCGAATTATTTACCTGTATGTCAGGCAAAGGAGGACATGGGCTTGCAGAGGCAAGCTTTCGTTCTTATACAGTTCGAACCCTAATAAGTAGCCACCCTTGGGGAAATGGATAGTGGCCGCTTAAATAGAGGTAAAAAGCAATTTAAAAAACCCCTCATGGGAGCTTTGATTACTGGGCGAGTAATAAGGGTTGGCCGTTTAATAGGTGACCAGTTAATAATTAGTAATTATAATAATAATTTTTTTAAAATAATACAACTCTAATAATAATAATAATAATAATAATAATAATAACAGTAATAAATTTATTTCAGTGTCAATGCATTTAGCTGGGTAGGGGTTCAACTGTGTATATTGCATGTAGTGTACTTCTAGACCCCTTTCAGTTTATTCCCAATTTGGAGGGCAAAACAATAAGATTGCCTTGCATTTGAAAAGGTTTTTTCTCTCAGAAGAGAGAACAACCATTGTTTTGTCCTCCAGATTGGGAGTTACGGGAAGGAGTCTATTGCAGACAAGTATAAAACTGTGTGCTGTGTGCTTTATTTCAATTCTTACCTTAGACTCTACAAGCCATGTTTTTTCAAGCCAATTCCTGAGCTTGAGATTAGCCAGCCAAACTGCACTCTCCTTAAGGGAAGACAAATTTTTTTCAAATGACTCTTTTGTTGGTGATTTTGCTACGTTGCGAAGCAGTGTTAGGACCTCTTCCCTGCTGTCAGTCAACCCATTTTCAGACTTTCGTAGCCATCTTTCCCAGCACTGTTCCCGATGAAAGTCACAAATATGTAGTGGTATCTGTTAAACCAAATTAGAATGTGAATCTTTTTGTACATTCTATTTTTAATATTATAATAGTGTGTTGTCATTTGAGAGAAGATAAAGCACTATGATGGATATACTGATACCTCGTATGGCATCAACCTAAGCTTGACTTTAAGGTTTCGCCCTCAAGGAAGTATCCAGATTTTTAACTGAATACCTAAAGTCATATTTAATTTGGCCTGGTTTTCCAGTCACTAGGGAGGATCAAGGTTAACTTACAATTTTATAGAAATTGTTACTTATTCCTTCAAAATCTTGTTTGCCTACATGTACTTGAATACTTGAGTGGCAAGCTGTAAAAATGATTTTCTTTGCACCCTGCTTGAATGTACAAGTCTTTATTTACATTTAGTTTCACACTTTGAGAATACTGGCCCAATGTTGAATCATCCGTACCTGTGAATGTGTTCTCAATTGCATGGATCTCTTCATGACAAAAGTCAGTCATGAAAAATTGGGGCTTCCAGCTGGCATTCCAATCATGGAAGATTCCTAGTGCTTCCTGTATGGAGGCTGTAGTTTCCCTGTTGAATTATGAAAGACCCCACAACTATGTAATTTACATTTGGATAGAATAGCAACAAATCAGTTGAAATATTAATTCCTAGACAATTTTGTTTATTTTTTTTATCAGCTTCTATTTTAGTCCTAAACACTACTTGGACCTTTTGTCATGATCATTACTTCATTTACAGACCTAGGCTATGATTGTTAACACTACATAGCATGTAGCCACCCATACACCTGTTGTACTTTGTGACCTAGCCTTTGAGTGGAATAATAATAATAATAATAATATTTATTGCTTATAGCGCGCAAATTAACATTCGAATATGATCAAATGCGCGTTACATCTAAGATACCTAAAAACTATAAACAAAAGCAATAAGAAAACTATATATATCATGTAAAAACTAAAAATACATCATAAAAAAAAAAACTAAATTACACCATATTAAAAATAAGATAATGAGCAACTAAATTAGATACAATTAACAGAAAGCCATGCGAAACAAAAAAGTCTTAACCTTAGTTTTAAAAGTGTTAAAACATGTCTCGTGTCTGATTTCACGAGGGAGTGAATTAAAGAGCCTGGGGGCTGCCACGGCAAACGCCCTGTCACCTAGCGTTTTCTTGGTTTTACCATTGTATGGTTCCAATAGTATCTCATTGTTTCGACGAAGCAAATATTTGCTAGGGCATAAAATGTTAACTAGATTACTAATATAATTAGGAGCTAGGCCATTAATAACTTTAAAAACTAAAGTTAAGGTCTGACTTGACTTTCTTTCACATGCCTTCTTGCCTTTCCATAGGAAAGTAATACCTGTCTGAAACTATAATTACCATAATGATTTATACATGAAAAACTAGAAGGTTTATATGAAAATGACTCAACTCTTGTCCCACCCATTCAAAGTGTTTTTCCCTAAGCCTTCAACTATTACTCAAACAAAAAGAGCCAAAAACAAAAGTTAATATTATTGTTCTCAAGTTAAGGTAGTGTCCCAGTTCTTTCAATTGACATCAACAGACCTCTCCAGTGATGTGATCTTTGTGTTCATCCTCCTTTGGTAACTGGATATAAATTCTGCGTTCCACTTGGGGTTTCTGTCCGCTGGTTATATCAGTCTTCAGCTTTTTGGACATGTCCCTTCTTAGTCTTTCTGTGTCATCCCTGATCTAATAGAGTTAAAAGACTAATAAGTTATGAAATGAAGAGATGTATTTTACTGAGCGGAAGTGTAATGTCAATTGCTATTATCACTATTGTGATGGTGGTTTTGTACCTTGTAATTGCAATACTTTATGACTTCTGATAAACGAATACTTGCAGGGCAGCCAAACTTCATTGTGTCTTGAGGTAGAAACCTCCTCCTTTTGAATGAGTGATCATCAACCTGTAGTTAGAAGATTAATATTATAGATTCCTTACAGTTTAGTGCTAAAAGCACCAAAAAGGCTGTGGCTGTGAAATGAAAATGCAGATATTTTTTAGTCATAACCAACATACCTTCTCTTCAGAATGTCGCGCTTTAAATGACTTTTTCCTGTCTGGTCTATGTTAGCAGTCAAATACCTTGGTGCCAATTATACTGAATGGTACTGAATCAAATGGAATTTTGTCATCTTTGAAATAGACTTTTCTTTGCTTGGCAAAGGGATCTGTGTCATAGAAACAAGGAAAGTCTGTATTATGTTTATTAGGGCTGTACTCTAGCAGTCCTCAGAGGTTCCTGGTGGCTTACTGTTGCTTTTCGGCAAGAAGGCAATCTTAGTTTTTGCCCAAAATTACTATGCTGGGCAGCCAGAATGTCAAAGGGTTAGTGTTTTAGGCTCCCCGATTTTTTTTTTCTTAGAACATAGCCTTGTTTATTATAATTTTGATTGTAATCTGGTATGCAACCTACACCACAGTCAAGCCAATGTATTACATGCACCCTTTGCAGATAGTACTCAGTCAACCATAGATTTAAAGATACCGTAAAATTCCGAAAATAAGCCCCTCCGTGTGTGTATAAGCCCCTCCAAATATAAGCCCCCCAAACTGGTAACGTAAAAAACCCTCCGTAAAATCGCCCCTCCAAATATAAGCCCCCGGGGGCTTTTACTTGGAAAATTGCCCTCAAATACAAAATAAAACAAAGCAAAAACGATAAATTTACTTCCAACTATAAGGCTAGCCCAATCGATTTTGAAACGCAAATTTCCCCCCCGTATATAAGCCCCTCCGAATATAAGCCCCTCCAAAAATAAGGCCCTCAAAAAGGGCCTTTGAAAAATATAAGCCCCGGGCCTTATTTTCGGAATTTTACGGTATTTCATGTCTTTGATTCATAAATTGTTCATGCCATGAATACCACTGTGTTTAGAATATGCACATTCTACCCCAGCATATTTCTCCCCCCCCCCCCAACAAAAGAAAAATTCCTAAGATCAGAGCATTGTTTATTATAATCTTTTGATTGTAATCTGGTGTGCAAGCTACACCACATTCTACTCCAGCATTCTTAACCCTATTATGTTACACTGCACTGCTAAAATCATAGCTGCTGATAACCAATCAGATTCAAGAATTTTTTTATGACCAACTTATTGTTTATGCACTTATCAACTGAAATCCCCCCTCCCCCACCCCCAGAACAGGGTGGGGATTTGACTTCATGTCAACTACAATGGTGATTAACCCCCATGAGGGGGCACTTAAACTTTTAAAGCCCCCACCTACAGTCCTGTAGGAGAAAAATAGAACATGGCAAAATCTTGAGAAATCCCCAGCCCCCAACGGCAAAACATGCTGTCAAATTTTATCAAACACCCTTTGTTCCCCCACCTTGGCCCTTGCTTCATAATTATCTTACCTCCAGCACCAAACATTTTGTCTGATTTAAAACAAGAGAATTTTGTTGTTGTTTCCAGTTCATATTGTCTTATTACAGTCATGGCTTCCTCAACTGATCCAACATAGCCAACAAACTTGTTCGTTGATCCTCTTAACTTCGCTTGCCAAGTACATACAGTAGCACTGTCTTTCTCACTTTCTAAATATATGCCTTCAGCTGTGCCGCTACCTTCTTGGGCATTTGCCGGCAAAGCCATAACAAACGACTTGTGCTGAGTACTATAAACCGAGCAGTCAACTTCCAGATCTCATACACCCGGAAACTTTATTATTTTCCTTTCGAAAATGCCCGCCAAACAACAATGCTTAGCGGGAAAATCTTCGGAATTCCGAGACAGGTTTAAGGTACATTATCGTCAATTTTCGTGCGCGTTCGCCTGTTATTGAACGTCAGTTTCATGGATGGAAAGATACGCTATCTGTCACGCCATCCATCAAACTGACGTTCTCCACTGTGGCAAGCTTTAAGGGTATAAAATAGCTTTACCCTTGTCCAATTTACCCTAAGTTTTCAAAGGTTTATTGAAAAAAATCAGGACCCTGCTTGATGTGCACAGAAAAACACAAATAATCTGCTGGACACACGTGGACCCATAAAAGATCATCCGCCATATTAGTTTTTACGATAGGAAGCCGGTGCGTAAACCGAAGATGTTCGCCGGAGATCAGATGACGTCACGTCAGTTTGGCGGATGGAAACAAGTGACGACCGTTCTGAGCATCCGCTGTCCGATTCTTACTACTGCAAATCAAACATGGCGGCTAAAACTGGCAGCCTTCGCAACCAAATTACAACCCCGGTTTCTCAGAAACCAGCGAACAACAAGCCATCATATTTTAGGATTGTAATTATATATGTAAGAGTTTTGATCTAACCGAAAATGAAGGTCATTTTATTTTTTACATTTTAGCCGTACGTAGTGCCTTAAGATATCGAACATTAATCAAGGTGAACTGGACAAAACAAGAACAAAATTAAGGAAACTTCACTGAAAATTTTGGATGAGTCAAATAATTATTTTCTATAGAATAATGCGGTTAATACGGTAAAAAAAGACGACTGACATCAATTTTACCGGTAAGAACATTTTTTTTTTGGACAAAACTGATACCTTTATCATCATTGCCGTTCTAATTTTATTCAACAAAATAGCGTAAACCGAAATTCAAATTATCATTTAATTTACTTACCATTTGGGGTGAACTGTAAAGTGTTTTTATATTTATGTCGAATCGGTTACGTTTTTCTGGTTTTGGTCGCAAATACATTAACCAGACTCCCGTTAATATTGTTACAGCTGTATTAAACAAGCGAAGAGTTCCTATACATAACTCAGTAAATCGTCTGTGAATATTCAATGTTTCGTGAAATCCCAAGACGATTTCCATAATAGTTTTGGTTTCAGTGTACTCAGCAATTTACTGTAATTTTATGCTTCCAAATTATTTGGAAGCATAAGAGGACAGTAAATTTCAGCCTAAGAGTCACGGTTTCAAATTTTACCCGTGAAAACACTTTCACAGCTCAAAATCAGTATACACTGATGAAATTTTCCAGATATTTCAGTAATTGTTAGATTGAATTTACAAAGCAATTTTCGAACTCATACACCGTATTCACAAATGGCGGACACGCGGGAAAAAACTGGGGCCTAGTCATGAAAGCGAGGCGTTGGAGGGTAAACAAAAATTGCAAATGGAGACTTTCAGTGAACTTGCAGAGTGTTTAGCACGGATTCCACCTAAAATAACTTTGTATGGACGTTTTTTTAAATACAATGACGTGGAACGTCTTCTGCTTTTAATGTTAGTACTGATTTGCTGTTTGCAATCACAAGGGACGCGTATATCTTCAAGGAAACAGGATGATTTTGTAGTTTGCCGAAGCCTCAGAAGCTCGACAAGTGGGTGATGGCTGGAGAAAAGCGGCAAACATGTTGGCCCAAACTTCACGCTGCAACCGAATACGAAAGCCAGCTCACTGCAATTCTGTGAAACAGAAGTAAAAACAGATATTGGTGGCAAGAAAAAAAGAAAAAAGCGACGGATAGATGGCCTATTTGTCAACGGAAGAGACCTCCGCCATTACTCAAAACTGGTCAAGTCGAGAGCGGGTGAAAGATTCATTCACGAGACTCATTCATTCATGTCAGTGTCATTTTACACATATCTATGTATGTCTGTATTTACAACTTCCTTTGGATGATATCAATTCCGTCGCTTTGGAGTGAATTGTTAGAGGTACGTTGGCAGAGCTTAGCAAATTCAGTGAAAATCTAAAATCTTTTGATTTCTTTGCATTGCGAAATAAAATAATTTTATCAAAACTAGAAGCTCTAGTGTGTGAATCTTATGGCTTGCTATTTGCCTGGTCTCCTTTACGGCATTATCTCAGAGAGCTCTTTGTAAAAAAGTGGTATAAAGCTCACATTTTACTAGGTTAAACTTTTAAGGCAATGTTTGTGTCAGGACTGAACACGGCAAGCTTCTGTTTCGAATCATTAAATGCGAGTCTGGATCCGTTTAAGAAGACCATCATTTTACTTATTTATGTATTCTTCACTTTTAAAACATTGTGGAACATGAAGTTAAAACTCTTAACAGCCAAAGATAAGAAATAGGAAAATTACTCGCTGAAATGAAATGTGGCCGGCTTACCGAGTCTGCCGAGTGACAAGTCGAAATTTTGAGCGTACTCCACTCGATCGCTTCTACATTTATACCAAAAAGATAGTTCTAATTGATGTCCTTTATCGATAAAGACCAGAGAATAGCGTCCTGGCAAATAAACACCAAACATAACTTCATCGAAACCTCAGTCACCGCTTCTTTCCTGTCTTCCTTTTTTCCATCTCGATTTGAACTGTTTTGTTCAATGGCACACGTCTCTTGAGTTAACAAGTAGGCCATATATCCATCGCTTATTTCTTTTTTTCTTGCCCCCAAGATTTGCATTTTGTATAGTTCTGTTTTACCGAATTGCAGTGAGTTGGCTTTCGAACTCGGTTTCAATGTGAAGTTTGGGCCAACATGTTTGCCGCTTTTCTCCAGCCATCCCCCACTTGTCGAGCTTCTGATGCTTCGGAAACCTACAAAATCATCTTGTTTCCTTGAAGATATACGCGTCCCTTTTGATTGCAAACAGCAAATCAATACTAAACATTAAAAGCAGAAGACATCCCACGTAATTGTATTTTAAAAGAAGTCCGTAGAAAGTTATTTTAGGTGGAATCCGTGCTAAACACTCTGCAAGTTCACTGAAAGTCTTCATTTGCAGTTTTTGTTTACCCTCCAACGCCTCGCTTTCATGACTAGGCACCAGTTTTTTCCCGCGTGTCCGCCATTTGTGAATACGGTGTATAATTTTTTAGGCTACACAATTCCAAAACATAGCTTTCCCACTAGAAGTTTGTTGAAATTTTACCAAAATTTCGGTCTGTTATGCGTTTCAGCTTTCAATGAACAGCTCTTTACTTTAGGGCACAATTTCTCGAAGAAAATACAGAGATATTTCGTTGTGCTAAAGCTTTCACAATTAATTACCTGTAGAACTTAATATTAAACAATTAAGAGTGAAATACTATTACAAAGCTAACTCATACAGTTAATTCAATAAGAAGAACAATGAATAGGCAACTTAATGAAGTCATCATCCCAAATCCAAAACTAAGGCTTTTATTCATCTTCATGATTTCAAACGGTAAGCGAGAAATGAACAGTACTATATATCCAGTGCCGAAGAATGATTCTATGGAGGCCCGTTCTGGTCAAAATTAATATAATAAAATGGCATCACAAGTGACTTTTTCGGCCAGTGCAGCATTTATTATGGACCCGTTGTGTATTTTTGTCATCACTACACAGGATTTTTTTAGTGTGTTGTTATTTTTTTTTTTAGCTGCATGAATTATTTTTTGTTAAGGCTGTTTACTTTTTTTATGTTGTTGTATGAATAAACTTTTCATGCGTACCACAAATAATTTTTTAGTGGTACCGCGAATTATTTTTAATACAAGTATTGACAATTATTTTTTCATCGTGCTGATAATTATTTTTCGCTGTATCGCGAATTTATTTTTGGGCCTACAATGCTTTGCGGGCCTTGCAGTTGAAGTGGACTGGTTCGAGTCTTTGACTTCCTTGGGCGACCATTTTGAAAACTTTGAAGTGGAGGAGTGCTTTGAAAGAAAATGCCAAGGCGAAACATTGTCAGGGAAATACACAAAAAGAGGTTTTCATCTTTCTTACAAAATCTATCAGGAGCCAGTAGTCTTTGCCGTTCGTGATGAGGTTTTCTGGACCGAAGATTTAATAGAGGAGACTACGAAGGGACTTCACGACTCGTACACAATTCTAACCCTTATTCAGGGTGTCCAGTTCCTATTTTTTCCTATTTTTTGAGCCTATTCCTATTTTCTCCTATTTTTAAACTAAAACCTCATATTTTTCCTATTTTTTAGCCGGTGAAGGCAAAATTTGTAACAAAATTGAAAATGAAATTATAATTGTATGTGTTTTTGAGTGAAATTTATCATAAAGCAAGTAGTATGTTGACTTTGATATTCTAATATTAATAAAAATAACAGTTACGTTTGTTCTTTCCATGACCTCTATTGCCTGTTAGAGTTCTGTTAACATTTTTGTTAACCTGCATGTACATGTATTGTATGTAGTGTTATAGTTCTCCTCCTGACTATTGAATAATATTGTGTATAGCCCACTGAAACTGCATTTCAGTATCTGTACATGTTATATTTTATTTTGAAGTCTTGCTCACTTTTATGTTCATCTTTGAAACTGAAAACAGGATCAAGTTGTGCTCTCACAACACAGGCCAATCCAATCAGCATCTTGTTTTTAAAAACCAATCATGATCACTAGCTGATTCTGGATGCTACATGAAAAGAACAGACTAAAGTTTAGTGTACGGCGCTAGCTCTCTTGGTGAGCCCTTGTTAACAGCTATACCTAAGCAACTGATGAAGGATCCAATATTTTGGTTGCAAAACCGGTCTTGCAGTCATAGCTAAGCAGTGTTATGTTCTTCTTAGAACTTAACCATGACAAACTTACAATCTGGTACCAAACACATCAGTGTCATTTTGCGTACACCGCAGAAAGCCTGGTTTCGTACTTAAAATTATGCGGTGTTTTGACTCAAACAAGCATATTCTCAACCAGCTACCGATTGCAGATTAATGGAAGGAAAGCTTTCCATAGGACTTTTACGTTCTAGTTCGATATCGTTCAATGACAACTCAATCGTAAGAAATTTCTATACTAAGAAATTTCACTCTTCAAAGCTTTTCAAAGATTTGCCGCCAACTTGAGGGGAATTTGCATATGATCACCTTTGATTATAGAACCACGCTTGACCTGCAGTCAAGCATATCATTCTGATTATAGCATAACTGAGGCAATAAACTAAACGTTATTGATCATTTTTACTCCTTCTTAGCCGCGAAAGTTGATCTCAATCCTGCGAACGTAGAATCTGAGGACTCGTGGCATTTATTATAACCCTGATGGGGTGCAGGGAGGCTACCTTTGTCCAAAAAAGTACTATTGATTTTCCCATTTTTCTCCTATTTTTTAATACAAAGTTTCCTATTTTTCCTATTTTCTCAATGCTGAGTCTCCTATTTGCCTATATTTTTGAGCAACCATGCCGCTGGACACCCTGCTTATTGCACATAACATGTCTCCCCAATTGAACAGTTCTCTACCCAATCTTACACCTCGAGTCTTCGTCCCGTACCACACATGCTGGCTTTCGGGAAGGAAGATGCTGAGCAAGAACAAACCAGTGCAAAAGTTAATTGCAAAATACGTATTCGACTGCTATGAGAAAAGAATATCATTAGTTCTTTAGGTTAACATTGATTATAGTTCCACTAGTGTGCAATTTGTGTTATGATTCTAAATTATTTGGATAAAGTCAATGTACATAGGACTGTATAAGACTCCAAATAAATAAAGCATTGTCATTGTCATTGTCATTGCTGTGAAAGAGAATGCCCTCTACCCTGAACTTCAGGAAAAATCTCCCGATTCAAATCCTGACGGGGGGGCATAAGAACTAGCAGAGCCAAATGGATTCGAGGTATATGACCTTCGCAGAGTGCTAGTGAGAGTAGACCTCACTAACTAACTAACATGGGAACTTGCTCGAGTGCCTTTACGGTGGCAGTATAGTAATTCCTGATTTTTAACATTATGTTTTTAATATTCGGAGATGAATGAGTCGGTCCAACGTCAGATACCTGAGATGTATAGGGAATAATGCCATAACATAAATATTAGATAAATCAATCGAATTTCCCATTTAGTGAGGTCTACTCTAACTAGCACTCAGCATAGGTCTTCTCCCTCGAGTCCATCTGGCTCTGCTTCTGGTGCTCGCCCGTCTGGATTAGAATCGGGAGCTTCTTCCTGAACTTCAGGGTAGCGGACACTCTCATTCTCTGCGTCTTCGTTCCGAAAACCAGCATGTGTAGTGCGAGACGAAGATTCGAGGACAAGACCGGGTAAAGAACAGTTCAATCGGGCAGACATGTCATGTTCTGAATAAGGGTTAGAATTGTGTACGAGTCGTGAAGTCCCTTCGCAGTCTCCTCTGTTAAATCTTCGGTCCAGAAAACCTCATCACTAACGACAGACTACTAGCTCCTGACAGATTTTGTAAGAAAGATGAAAACCTCTGTCGTTTCAGTTCTCTGACAATGTTTCGCCTTGGCATTCTCTTTGAAAACACTCCTCCACTTGCAAAGTTTTCAAAATGGTCGCTCAAGGAAGTCAAAGACTCGAACCAGTCCACTTCAACTGCAAGGCCCGCAAAGCATTGTAGAACCAAAAATAAATTCTCGATACAGCGAAAAATAATTATCAGCACGATGAAAAAATAATTGTCAATACTTGTATTAAAAATAATTCGCGGTACCACTAAAAAATTATTTGTGGTACGCATGAAAAATTTATTCATACAACAACATCAAAAAAGTAAACAGCCTTAATTAAAAAATAATTCATGCAACTAAAAAAAAATAAAAACACACTAAAAAAATCCTGTGTAGTGATGACAAAAATACTCAAGAGGTCCATAATAAATGCTGCACTGGTCGAAAAAGTCACTTGTGATGCCATTTTATTATATTAATTTTGACCAGAACGGGCCTCCATATGATTCTGCTAACAGTAAGGCAAAAGAAGAACATGTTCAGTATGGTTGTCTCAAGCGAACCTGGAATTTTCTGAGGATCAGAGAAAAGTTCCATGAAACATTTAGGCTTTTCACCATTTATTAAGGAACAGTGAATAGGCGAAAAAAGAATCCCAAACTCAAATCTGATCTATAGGATCGTTTGGAATTTTCTGCTTTGGAATCATCTCATCTTACATGTATTTGTAGCATGTATATCTACTCTAGCTTGTGGATAATCCTTTCCACAAATTTTGCTCAATTTTTGTTTGCTAGATACATGTATGACCATGGACAGTAGAGGTTTACGAGTAATGCTAAATGACACACATCTCAAACATCGAGGACCAGTCGGTAGGGCAGGTGAGAATCACCGCCGCCGTATCGAGTCAGAGCCGTTTGTGAGAACTTGAGTCATAAAATTATACTTTTAATAGGATAATAAACTCTGCGGACCAACAAAACCAACAGTATTGTTAATCAGGCAAACGGTTATAATGGTGGTCGTGAATGATAAATTCGAAATAGTGAATTTAAAGAAAATTGATATCTACAACTACTGATTATTAACACGACCAATAAAATAACAAAAAAAAATGTGTTCAACACAGCGACATATATAAGCTCCGTAATCAAAAGTGACGTGTAGAGTAATACAGCGATTTGAAACTAAGCTTTATTCATTTTTACAGTTCGACAAGCTTGTTAATTTATCGAACTACAAAACCAAAATCGCCTTTTTTGTTACATCATTTGTCGCTTACTTACAAATGAAACTTAATAAATATGTTCCACAAATATAATGGTTCTTTACACAGGGGAACCCAAGGACGATTTCCTCCTAAATCCATTGAGACTGAAAACGTTTTAGGCTATCCAGAGTATTGCATTCTATGCAGGTCTATGAAAATTTGTGTATCTGTTCGCTCATCGTGTGGGAACGTGAACCTTTTTGAAATTACAAGGGCTTCAGTATTATTTTCCTGAAAATTTTAGAGGCAGTTTAATGCATTGACGGAAATGAGAATTTTTTTGACTCCTCTCTCCATCATATATATTTTCTAATCCGAAGTTTTAGGTTTCCTTTTTTCTACGAAAAATAGCCTAACCTAGGGAGTGAAATGTGAAAAAATAAACTTCAAAAAAACCGTAGGGAATTATTAGATAAGCTTCGAAAATTGTGCACTATGATGATGAATGCAACGTTCACCTATAAATTTTTAGCCGTACTAAAGTAATAGAACATTCTACGCAATATTTGCTTCTCCGAACAGATACTTTAAAGAAAACAGTCTCTGGGTGCACCTGTTTAGATCACGCTCTTCGTACAGAAAAAAGCCGCTCTTATTTCTTAACTGACCATACAGTTGTTCAAAGACAAGCAAAAACTAACAGAATACTTGAGTTAAGGATTTTGAAAATACAGAAACTGTTTGTTTCCTGAGGAAACCGCTATATTATTTAGTGTCTCTGAATCGAAGAAATAAAAAAGTCAAGCATGAACCGGTGCTACACGCCACAAATGGTGAATCATCGAGCGACTGTGTAAGATCACTAAAGTTAACTGGTTACACTGAGATTATTTACTGGATGCAATAAGAGTGGACCAGAATTGATGATGGCTACTAAGACGGAAAATGAGTATAACAATTTACCACTCTTTCAATTCGAGGTCAGTTTAGGGAGCCGATGATAATTTCTCTAAGGGATATCATCTCGCGATATCTCAGACGGCAACTTTTCTTTCAATTGTACCGTTATACCTTGGGTTACTTGAACAATCGCACTTGGATTTAAAAAAATCCAAGTACAACATCAAGTTATTTCTAGTAAAAGTTGTAAACTGTAGGTTAAAATGATGTTGTAAGAAACAAATGTGTATAGTAGTTCAAAAATTATGCAAAGGGGCCTTTCATCGGGTGCTTTGATTACTTAGCAACCTCATATTTCAGCAGGCGAATGAAATTGTTTAATTGAAATTAGAATACATACGTAGGCTGTTTAGTGAGCATGTTTTGACGCCGAGAAACGTATTCAAACAAGAAAATTCTATGATTCAATCCCTAGCAGAGTGTTGGTATGTACAGTCCTCGAAGCTTTCTTGTTTTTCTCTAGCTTTATTAAAATTATGCTTTTTGATTCAATGTTTCTTTATTTCTTCTTTCTTCCAGTTCTCATAACTTTCATGAAGACAGATCACCAGATAAAGAATGAAAACATATGGCAAACAAGGTAAATCATATATGCGCCACGCGTTCTATATCTCCTCCGGCCCATAGTAATTTGTCACGGATCAAATTAGGAATGACTTTTCAACGTGTAATGCACAGAACAATTTAAGCGGGTAAAATGTTGATAAGCAGTATTTAACAATCATTTATCATGGTAAAAAAAGAAAGGATTTTCAGAGTCCAATGATAGTATCAAACATGATTCATGTTAAGCGTTTTTATCAAACAATTCTGAATATAGTTGAGAATCATTGCAACATTGCTTATTTGGATATACTGTCGTGTTGACTTCCGCAAAGAGAATTTTCAAATTTGGATGTGGATAAATTCTGTGCTTTATTCTGGATACAGAAATGAACGACGGAAGAATTTGTAATAATTATTGTTACTTCTTTTTCTCCTGTTTTTCAGTAACTTCTAATAAATTGTACTTCGCTTGGGTTTACAGTAATATAGTATAAAATATTCTAATTTAGACAAGGACAGATTATGCTAAGATTCAGTCTTGCAAACTGTTCTCGGTATAATGTTTTTCCCACTGCACCAAAAGGTGATGAGGTGACGGCCATCCTTGTGAAGGTATAACACCGGTACAAAATATATACCCGGCTGTTAAAGGACAAAATTGAGCTATACCAAGAGATAGATCTTACACTTAAAAAAAAATAAAATAAAATAAAATAAAATAAAAATATATATATATATATAATAAATGATGTGGTGGCTGGTAGATTCTCGACCATGGAACAAAAGCATCATTTGCATGCACAGGAGCTCAGTTCCTGAAAAACACAAAACGCGAATTTCTCATGTTAAGCCAAAAGAACCAATCAAAATGCTCGACGTCTTTTAGACGTGAGATGTAATGATTGGGGGATCGGATTTCTTTGAAACTTGTTTTTAAAACATGAAAAGGTAAGCAATTATCGCAAGAGAGGAAATAAATTAACCGGTAACGATAATCATTGCTATCATTTGGCTTTGGCAATCGTAAAACGAAGGTAAGTTAACTTCAAGAGACTCTGTAACAGTCATCGAGATTTCATTGCATTCAAACCGTTCATTTTTCCAAGGCATATCTTAAACATAAAGTATATCATTATTCATTCAAAATATTCCTGAGTTCTGAATAAGATTACCTCATGGTAGACTTTCTTTAAACCTTTGGCCTATTTCTCGGTACGGTTTCAAAAGCAGATGTTTGTCCGTTGCAGATACTCCTCAGAAAGTATATAAAATTCATCGAGCGATATATATGTTTAGCGCATTCTTGTTATTGTATAACTTCTGTTCAATGAGATTTAGTTAGAAATCAGCTAGTTTGTCCCTAGTTAGCCGTAAACGCCACTTCGTTTTAGTTCACTCGTGAAAAAACAGCTTGGCAGCTTGGTGACGATGGTCTAGCCCTAATTCCAATATACCAAATATGGTAAGCGCCAGATGGTTATGAAGAATTTGGGGGGGGGGGGATTAGAACCTTCAGCCTCGGTTGATCACATCCTCGTCGATCTGCATAATTCCTCAGATCCTACCCAGCCACATTCAATAACTGCTAGGTGTTAATCATTGTGTTTTCGTTTGACCTACTCAAGATATTTTATATCATGATCAAACTTCAGTTCTAGTGCACGAGTTAGAGGACCTTGATGATGCGATCACGAGTTAAAGAGAACACCATGTTGTTTGTACTGATTTTTTCGCTCACGGGTGGTTTCTGCTCTGCTAAGGACAACAAACCACCAGACACCAAGGTAACTATATGTCAGATATTGCCACTACACATTTTTTTTATTACAGTTAAATAACGTTAGTTTATAGAGAAAACTAGGAATGACGTATTATATGTAAATTTAACTACCAAATTCAAACAAAAACTTATGATGGTATGATTCATTGTACAACCTCGATCACTATTTTGAGAAGAGAGACAACATTTTAACCTTTTAAACAATCAAAATTAACATTTTTACAAAAACAGCCTCTTTACTGGAAAATAAATTTCTTTTTCCAAAATCACAATTGGCGATTACATTAAAAAAACTCCAATTAAAACTTGGAAAATTAAGGAACTGCTTCGTACGTACCTGGATTGAAACGCTAGATGACAGGTGAAATTGTGAACCGCTACTGGCAGTTTGTCACTGACTTTTTCTCTCTTTGGCAGCCTGTTCAATCTTGTCCATCTTGTAAACATGGTGGACAAACCGGGATGTGGACATACATGACATGTATACCAGGAGCCCCCGGGGCACCTGGTCGAGATGGAGCCAAAGGAGACCTGGGTAGCCCGGGGAAAACTGGGACCCAGGGACCACGTGGTGCTGACGGAAAGAAAGGAGCAAAGGGAGAGATTGGGATCCAGGGTTCCGCCGGACAAAAAGGAGAGCGAGGGGACAAAGGCGACAGTGGAACGCCACGACTGGCTTCACATTTGAACTGGAAGGAGTGCGCTTGGAAAAAGGCATACAACACAGATTCAGGACTGATATATGTAAGTGCGGATCGCCACTTTGTTACCCAAGTTAAATAATATTCTCAAAGCAATTAATTTTTACCGAGATGATTGATTGCTATAATTCTTTAGTCAGCGCCCGGTCAGCGATGATGATGGCTGCGTCTTTTGAAGCTACGTAGTTTTGTGTTAAGGCCGGGCGATAATCGGTTTTATTACACTGTGTCCTTCTCTATTATTAATTTTTTCGCTAATCTTATGTACAGGAATTTTTCTTTGTCGAAACACCTTGAATCAATTAATATTGTACAACTGATGTCTTACTTTTTTGTAGACTGGAGTAAACAAAAATAAACTGCAATACGGATGCTGCTTCTTTATATCTCTTTTAGAACTGTGACTTTGTGAAGAAATACGCGGACACTGCCCTCCATGTCTACTATGCTGGTAACCTCAGGATTCACGGATGTGACAACTGCTGTAGTCGCTGGTATTTCACCTTCAATGGAGCCGAGTGCAGCTCTCCAGGAACTATTGACGGTGCATTCTATTTGTACAGATTGGGCCAAAATTTAAGTCCTCATTATCAACGCCACATTGAAGGTCACTGCAATAACATTCAGAAAGGAAAGGTGCGAGTGGGATTCTCGGTTGGAAAATGCGTCACAGGACATAAGCTTGCTGACGCCTACACTGGTTGGCATTCAATGAATCGTATCTTCATCGAAGAAGTACCGAAAGCTCAGCAGTAAGCTCGAGTCATGTGATCATCTGGACTTTGAAATTTACTGTTAAATCTGTATTAGTACTGTAAAAAATAAAGAAGTCCAGAAGCATTGACACTGTAATGCTTTTACCTATTTGTTAGATTCGCCAAAGAGCTAATGACAAACAATCATTTATTGAAAAATAAGGGCAGTGGCATACTTCATTATCATTAGTAGTTTTGTCGTGCCAGTAGGTGCACAAGGCCTCCACGCTCTCTGACCAAAACTTTCTGTCTCGTGCCACCGCTTTGTCTACTTTCCACAGCTTTCACCTGCTTTGGTTCTTTCAATGACATGCTTACCTCATGCATTTTTCCCTTTGGCCTCCCAAAGAGCAATTCCTTCCTTTTTTCAGGTTATAGAAACCATGATGCTGCTAGTGGTGTGGCCAAAGTACTAAAGGACCTCAAGGAAGTCCTCGGCGAACCCGAGTCACGCTCTTCAAACCACGCCGATATGTTAACCCCTGTCGGTCGTCATGGAAATAGTTATAGTTCCCGTCAGCGGGTTGGGGGGAAGAGAATTTGTTATCCCACCCCGCACCATCACCCCGCGAGTCAAGGGAACGTAACATAATTCCTCTCATTCATCTCTCGCCGTGAGCGGGACCTTTGCTAGCAAAGAAACCATTGGCTATTTTCGAATAACTCATAATACACTCTGTTTGTCCACCAAATTTGGCCTAAGTTATTGTTTTCACATTCTCTAAGGAAATGGAATATGCAATCCTCTCATTTGGGAAGGGGGTGGGGAGCGGGGAAAACAGAGTGTATTATTGGGGATTCAAAAATAGAAAAAAGAGGCAAACCAGAGTAGGGACAAACCAGTGTTTTAGCCCTCATGGAAGGGCAAATAAACTGCTTCCATCGTCAAGCCGCATTTCATATAAATTTGGTACTTTCAAAATAACGAACTTAAGCTACTCACATAGGAAACAATGAAACTTAAGTTCAGTTCACAAGTGGTCGTATAGTGCTGGCGTTTCCTCCTTGTCCACCATGCCTTCTCGCTCGTACGTGACTCGAAAAGCATAGGCTGCGCCCAGCAGGGGCACCCAACGACGGTTTCCTTCTAAATACATTGTTAGCACTATGTAGGCTACCCAGATTACGTTTAGATGTTCAGAAATGCATTCTAAGCGGCGCTTTAACATTTGTTTCTGTTCGGTCATCCTAGGGGAACTTCAGTCTTTTCGAAATTACAAGGGTTTCTGATGCAATTTCAAGTATTACTTAACTGAGACACTGTTTCTGATTTCCAGGATTTCTCTTTCCACTGTCTTTCCATTGCATTTTTGAGACCAAAAATTAAAATAGCCTAAAATAGCCTAACGTGGGAAGTGAAATGTGAAAATTAATTAAACTTCAGAAAATCGATGTGATTTATTACATATGCTTCGTAAAATTGTACATGAGTGCAACGATCATCTAGAAATTTTTAGCCTACCTCAATTAATAGAAAATTCTAGGCAATATTTGCTTCTCCGAACAGATATTTCACAGAAAACAGTCGTTGGGTGCCCCATGGCCTAGGGAAGAAGCAAGTGCTGACGGCCCTTGTGGTGTTCTCGATTTTAGCTGTTAGGTGTCCGTCATTTGGTCACTTATAAAAATGACTTGGGACCTGCCTCTAACCCTGACGTCTCTTTCTCGATGAAAATGTGCGCGCAAAGGAAGGTGGGAAGGAGACAGTGGGCGAGACGGCCCTTCGCCTGCCGTCTGTACCCTTCCCATGGTCCCTTGCGGCTCATCACCAGTCGCTCGCCTCTACCTCGCGAAAAACGAAACGCCTGAGGAGGAGGCTGACCTGGGACTATGCTGCAATCAAATGTGGGATGCATGTTGGCAGCGTTTTGAGCCCAGAAAATTTGATTTTAAAAAATTCCTTTTTCAATTACGGCATGTTTCAAAGGTTCACTCGAATAACTAACTCGCTTACGATATTTACAAAACAGTACATGTTGATAGCCAGCGCTAAAAACTTAAAACGGTATCTGCAGTTTAATCCGGATGAGCTTCAGTGACTTGTTGCCAATTCAACCGCGAAGGAGAATGGACCCACAACCTCCGTCGTTTGCACATTCTTCGTCCACAGCCATTTCAATAGGCTATTTCCGAGTTTCAAAATCTTTCACTTTCAAAACGAGGCTCAGTGCAAAAACTTTTTCGTGATAATGAGTCCTATTTGCATGAGAATAAAAAGGAATTTTCATATCAATGGCTTCGCACGTAGCCTCGCATTGAGCTTTGGGCAACTCGGAAATCACTTATTGACGAGATCGAAAAGCCAAATGACACCGCATAGCAGTATGGGTAGTTTCATAAGCTCTTCGTATTAAAATCACATAAGTACACGTACAACACATTTTGTGACTGTACACGAACTATTGAGTAATAGTTTATTTTGACATAAAACTTAATATGACAGCTCCGGCTTAAAGCTCTACATAGTTACTCTGATATCAAGTGTTGTAATCACTAACTGGGGAAGGGTTTGGGGCATACTTCTGAAAGTACATTTGGCAGTCTGCTTTCCACATTTTGGAACAGACACAAGATCTACTACAGCAGTCTTGATCATGCATACATTGTTAGAACGGTATTCACTGAAGTGACGTACAACCCTCTCTAGCCAATCACAAAAGACTGGACGGAAGGTTGCCAACAGGCGGGAAGAGAAATTGACACGATATATTTTAACCAATCACAAGGAGTTGAGTGCAGATAGGATATTCTGGAGATTATTTTCCGACACATCACTGAAACCCGTTCTAAACAAACTAACATTCCAAGGGACATGGCACGAAATCTTGCATGCCACGGAAATTAAGATCCGTTTTTCTTCTTTTTTTTCGAGTCAATATACAGTATGTTTAAGTTTGCAGTGCTTTCTTCTCTGCAAGCTAATTTCTGAACAAAACAAGTCTGGTTTGGTGGGCGGAGAGAACACAATGATTAGAAGGGGAAAAGAGACAAAGTTTCTCTGTTGCCTACTTAAATCTGCATTATTAACTACATACTCTACTTACACTTTCACGAGCACAAACATCAACAACAAACAGGGACACGTTTACTGTACAGCAGTGCGATAAAGACAGGTTCCTTTTTAAAAAACTCCCAGGTCTTCATAACTCTTCTTTTTGTTTTCAAGTTTCTTCCCTTGCTTCTTCCTTCGCAATCAGAAGCAACAGAATAGTTTTTGCAATCAACCAAACTTGGAACAGGGAGTCCGACAGTGGAGGGGGGCAAATATTACATCAACAGTCACGTTATAATTCAGACCATCTATACTAACGTATCCTTCTTCTAAAGGTGAGTTAAAAAGCCTTTCCATGTTCATAATATAAATCTAAATTATTATATGTACTTATTCACACTTCAAAAGGACAATATTCAGATTTTATAGAGATATTATGGAGTGTTTGCAAACAAAGAAAAATTGTTGTTAATTGGTTTACGGTGAGAACGTATCGTTGAATTCATTTTAAGACAACACAAAAGCCGTCTTTCTTGCTTTCATTCCAGAACTCCACCTTTAAATTTAACTTTATCGACTGGGCACCATAAGCGGATCTTACAAATAGCTCAGTTCTCGGGTACTTAAGAAAACAAAACATCTCTCCCACTAAAATACGATAGAAAATACCTTTAGAACAAGTTTTCTTTGCCTGCACACTTGATTTTCTCAAGAAGTAACAAATTTTAGTGCTTGAGTTACCAGCGGAACTCTTTATAAGAAATTCGACTTCTAGAATAAAGTGTTTAATTTCACAGAAGAAGAAAACCAAACAACGCAATGTGACGACGACCTCGTGTGTAATCCCCCGTCCCCCACCCCAACAAATTTCTCCGTCTCTCGGCCCAGTACATCACAGCTTACTCACAAAGTCCTGTGACAAACCACAGAAAACTAAAGGCTACGCATCCTGCATGATTTTGTACACTACTTACAAGGGCTGGTATCTGACATAATTTCTCGCTGGTATGTTTGGAGTAGACAGTGAGGCGGATGCCTTATGGTTTCCCCCGTCCCGTATTGGAATAAAAACAGCCGAATGTTATGTGCCGCATATCCGCAAGCAGCCTGAGAAAGGGCTGAAGGCTCGATGAAAAGTTGGGGAGGGAGAAGAGGGAAGCCATCACAGAAGTTCATACTGGCGCAAATGCACTCGCTGGATTATGTCTCGGCAGTCGTTAAACACCCGTCGAATATTCTCCGTGTCTACTGCGCATGTGAAATGTGGATAACAATAATGTTTACCATCTCCACTGGCTGTACTGATCCGCTGAAAAAAAGTAAAAATACAACCGTTAATGAATTTACATTCGGTGGAACTGAACGCTCAGCTGTAGAGGCAGTGATAAAGAATGCAAATAATTTCCTGTTGGTATGAACGAACGTGAGTCTGCATTAGACCTTATTAACGATACCGCCATCTTGACATGAGCTTAAAAAAGAAATGTCACGTGGTTTCAAACAAACAAGCAACCAAGTGATAAAAGCCACCAGTGCAAAAAAATCGCCTGTTTCTTTCCTGTACGCAGAAGCGAATGTATAAGTTCCCACAGCAAACAATAATGACGTAAAACTTGGCGAAGCTCGAACTAAAAGAGTCGTCTCGTTTTGAGAGCATTAAAAAACTCTCCCGCAATTACTCGCACAGGGAAATTTTATCATTTGTTTGCCCCCTGAAATACCACATGATATTGCTTTTAATCCACTTATTCCACTGATCCTAAAGCGCGTGCAATGATGATACGCAGGTAAGGTTTTGAAAGTTGCAATGTATTCATCATTCAACTTTTTCATTTTCTCTTGTCACTGATTCCTCATCTCCAGGCTCCGCTGTGACTGCAAAAGAAAGAAAGCATCATAAATGTGAGGCCTACTTCATGCCTAAAGCACCTAATAATCTGGTGTCATATAAGTAAGGACCGGTCTTGTGCCGATATTATTGCTGAAAATTAAAGGATACCAAAGAGAGG